TCTCCCTTTTCATATTTATAATTCTCTTTTCTAATTGTGAGAAACCTGGTTTGAACTTTTTTTCTCTTTTAGCACTTTGAAAGTGTTATTTCTTGTCTTCTAGCCTTTGTTGTTTATAGTGAAGAGTCTGCCTTTATATTTTTGGCTCCCATGTATGAAGCATCCCTTTTTTCTTTGGCTGCTTTTAAAGTTTTGTCTTTATTACTGGTTTTCAGCAATTTTGACTATGTGCAGTTCTTATTATCTTTGTATTTAATTTTCCCAGAGTTTGCTGATCTTAGATCAGCAAGCCAATGGTCTCTACCAAATTTGAGAAATATTTGATCACTATCTTTATAACTTGTGTGCCCCATTCTCACATCTCTTCTGGGTTTCCAATTACACATATGTTAGATCATTGACACTTATCCCACAGGTAGCTGACACTCTGTTCATTTCTTTTTCTTTCAATGTTTCTATTCTTCAGTTTGGATAATTTCAGTTGATCGGTCTTTTTAATTCATTGGCCTTTCTTTCTGTCATCTCCAATCTGCTTTTAAGCCCATAAAGTACATTTTTAATTTTATATAATATACTTTTCAGTTGTAGAGTTCCTGTCTGGTTCATTTTGGGTTTTCATTTTTTCTGTTGAAGATTTCTATTCATTATGACTCTCTTTTATTTAAGATGTTGAACATTCATTATAGCTTCTGTAAAGACTTTATCTGCTGATTCCCATAGAAGATCATCTCAGGGTCATTTTCTATTCTTTTTTTTCCCTCTTAACTATGGGTTCCATTTATCTGCTTTTTCTCATGTCTAGCAATTTTTGATTATATTTTGGACATTGTAAATGATTCATTGTGATAACTGTTTTCTTTTATCTTCCGTTGATTACCTTACTGACTGATTATGTGACTTCATAGAGTCTTGGTTTCATGTTTGTTATGGCCGCTTTGTTTTGATTCTGCCCCTGGTCCTAAGATAGATCCCTTACTCCTTAGACTTACTGTTTATTCTCAATGTAGAGTCTTTCCAACTTTTCAGTGGAAAGTTTGAGATGCCTATCAAATTCCTCTAACTTAGTAGGAATCATATTCTAAACTATGTCTCCCCTCATGGGCAGCAGCTAGAATCTCTGCTTGGATCTTTCAGTCTTCTGTCATTTTCCATTGGAATCCTTAGAGGCTCCCATTCATGTATGTTGTTTAGAGATTAGCCATGGATTTGAGGGGAATTGTGCCTCCCCTATGGATCTGTTTTCTATGATTTCTCTTTTCAATCTCCAGCCACTGTGGCAGTGCTGAACTCCATCCATTGATATATCAAACCAATAGAGTGGTTTTCTATTTGAATTTTAGTCACCCTGCACCAGTAGATTAGTGAGTACCCTTAGGGGAAAAGCACATAAACATGGATGCTACATGGATGTTACCTGGTGTGATTCTCCTCTTTCAAGGTCATTCTACACCCTCCTCCCCCGCCCCGCCCCTTCCTGACTAGATCAGTCTCTGGTGCTTTTTTTTTTTTTTTTTTTTTCTCCATTTTTAGAGACAGAGCATGAGCGAGGGGCAGGGAGAGATAGAGAGAAACACACAGAATCCAAAGCAGGCTCCGGGCTCTGAGCTGTCAGCACAGAGCCTGACGTGAGGCTCCAACTCATGAACTGTGAGATCATGACCTTAGTCGAAGTCAGATGCTTAACCGACTGAGCCACCTAGGCACCCCTCTGGTGCTTTTTAGTAGTAATTTAAAAATATTTCCCCCCCATGGTTAATAATTGTTATCTTATAAGGGTTAATCCCACCTAAACATCTCTGTCATTATTGGAGCTTGAGCTCTGTGGTTTACAGTTTTTATGTTCAGTATATACTAGTTACTTCATAAAAGTCTTTTAAACACATAGGAAGTTTTATTTAAAAACTTTTATGTTGGGGGCGCCTGGGTGGCTTAGTTGGTTAAGCGTCCGACTTTCGCTTAGGTCATGATCTCGTGCTTCGTGGGTTCGAGCCCCGCGTCGGGCTCTGTGCTGACTGCCAGCTCAGAGCCTGGAGCCTGTTTCAGAGTCTGTATCTCCCTCTCTCTCTGACCCTCCCCTGCTCATGCTGTCTCTCTCTCTCTCTCTCTCCCCCCTAGAAATAAATAAAAAATAAAAAATAAAAACTTTTATGTTGTCTGTACATGACTAATGTTTGTGGTGTCAGTAGTTGGAAAGAAGTCCTGAATCCTGAGCCCAGAAGATACATGTATCAATAGCTGCTATACACTAAGGCCAAATGATCCAGTTTATTCCTTTGAAATATGTTGTGAAATAATTTCAGGTTACAAAATATAAGACCAAAAATGAGTAATTAAAATATCTTTGCATCCATTGCTGACATAAATAGGAGAAATCATAGCTCTTCCTCACAGAAAAAAATCCATTTATAAATGTGGAAGGAAAGAGGGAAATCACCCTCAGGAGAAAAGTCACCATCGGGGCACCTGGGTGGCTCAGATGGTTAAGTGTCCAACTCTTTGATTTCAGCTCAGGTCATGATCTCGCAGTTTGTGAGATCAAGCCCCCATCAGTCTCCATGCTGTCAGCTTGGGATTTTCTCTTTCCCTTTTTCTGGGTGTCTGGGTGGTTCAGTCAGTTAAGTGTCCAACTCTTGACTTCCTCCACTCAGGTCATGATCTCGCAGTTTGTGGGTTTGAGCCCCATGTTGGACTCTGCACTGACAGTGCAGAGCCTGTTTGGGATTCTCACTCTCCTCTCTCTTGTGTGCACATGTTCATGCTCTGTCTGTCTCTTTCAAAATGAATAACGTTAAAAAAATAAAAATAAATTTAAAAAAAATCACCATCAGAGCACTACAGTAAAAATTACCATAGGCAAGATCCACCAGTAGATGCTAAAATTAGCAGGCAGAAGTTGTACAGAAACAGTATATTTGCATCATCTCAGTATTTCCCCCAGTATATTTAGTAATTCCCAAAGGAAAAAGAATAAACTTAGAATGGAAAATTTGATCACAATCATAAAAGATAAGACTGAGAAACTCTCATAGATTAGAGGATACAAGGAGACATGATAACTAAGTTCAGTGTGGGATCTTAGGTCAGATCCTGAACAGAGGACTGCCTGGATGGCTCAGTTGGTTAAGTGTCTGACTCTTGGTTTTGTTTCAGATCATGATCTCATGGTTCATGAATTTGAGCCCTGCATCTGTTGAGCCTGCTTGGAATTCTTTCTCTTAATTTCTCACCACCCGTCTCCCCAACTCAAAATAAACTGGGGGGAAAAACAGATCCTGAACAATAGGATATTAGTGAGAAATGTAGTGAAACTAAAATTCTTTACATTGTACCACGTTAATTTACTTAATTTTGGTACATCTTCTGTGGTTACATAAGACATTAACATAAGAGGAAGCTGAGGACAAGGTATAGAGGAACTTATTTTTGCAACTACTCTGTAAATCTATAATTTTAAAAAATGGATTCTTTCATATTGTTGGCTATAAGAAATTTCCTGTGTCTTAATATTTTTCTCTTTAATTCCAACACATATTGTTCTCCAGCATAGTAGTTCTCAGAGAGTATTCCTAAACCAACAGCATTCATATCAACTGGGGATTTGTTATAAATGCAAATTCTCAGAAGCCTGGGGATGGGACCTAACAATCTGTGTTTTAACAAGTCCTCCAGATGATTCTGATGAATGCTCAAGTTTGAGAACCATGATTTGTACCATCAGTTAAAACTTAGACTACAAGAAAACATTGTTTTACTATATTGGCCAATTATTAATAATGTTTGCTTGCCATTTTTTCAAATTGTAAAATCCATGTAACATAGCATTTACCATCTTAATCATTTTTAAATATACGGTTCAGTGGATTAAATATATTCACATTATTATATAATTGTCACCACCATCCATCGCCATAACTCTTTTCATCTTGTAAAGTTGAAACTCTATACCAGCCTCTGGCAACCACTTTGTAGTATTTATCTTTTTGTAACTGGATTATTCCACCTACCATAATATCCTGAAGGTTCATCCATATTGTCCTATATATCAGATATCAGAATGTTCTTCCTTTTTTTCTTAAACTTTCTTTTAATGTTTGTTTATTTATTTTGAGAGAGAGAGAGAGCAGGGGAGGGGCCAAGAGAGAGGAAGAGAGAGACTCCCAAGTAGGATCCGTGCTGTCAACACAGAGCTGGATACAGAGCTCGATCTCATGAGCCATGAAATCATGATTTGAGGCAAAATGTCCAATGCCTAACTGAGCCACCCAGGTGCCCCAGAATGTCCTTCCTTTTTAAAGCTGAATCCTATTCCATTGATATATATGCCATGTTTTGCTTATCCCTTCATCTGTCATTGGACATTTGGGTTGCTTCCATGTGAATAATGCTGCTATGAGCATGGATGTAGAAATATCTTTTTAAGACTCTGCTTTCAATTCTTTTGGGTATACACCCAGAAGTGGCATTGTTGGATCATATGGTAATTCTAAATTTAATTTTTTGAGGAACCACTACCATGCTGTTTTCCATAGCAGCTATATCTTTTTACGTTCCCACCAGCAGTGCACGATGGTTCCAATTTCTCCACATCCTTGCCAACACTTATTGTCTTCTGTTTTGTAATAGTAACCATGTTAGTGGGTATGAAGTGGTATCACATTGTGGATTTGATTTTCATTTCTGAGATGATGAGCTTGTTGGCCACTTGTATTTCTTCAGAGAAATGTCCGTTCAAGTACTATGAACATTTTTGGATAGCCCTGTCAGCTTCCATACATAGAGATTTCTGCTGCTTACATACTTATTCATGAGTTCATCAGTGGCTCTTGTGGGCCCTCACTTTCTTTGCTTCCTGTTGTCTACCTTGTTTCTAGTTCCCATGAGTCTGGAATTGATACATAGGTCTGTTTGTATGTGGATTTTGAGAAATAGAACAAAATTTGAGAACTGTATATGGCAGCATTTTAATATTTAAACCTATTTCCAAAAAATTCTCATTACAGACTTACAACAGCTGTGCCAGACTCTGCTTAAACCAAGAAACAGTATGTCTAGCAAGCACTGCTATGAAGACTGAAAATTGTGTGGCCAAAGTAAGTAGTATTACTCATCAATATGCATTATACCACATCATGATGGTACGTTATCTGTAAACGTCTTCACACCATATTGCTATTAAAGATCATCACAGGATTCTATATTTAAAAAAAAATACAGGAGGCATCATTTTATCTGAAGATTGTAGGTTGGAGTCTCCATCTCTTCAGTTGCAAAAGAATTTTTTGATTATGCATTCTGGTCACACTTCAGTCTAATTCACATTTGTGACTTGACACTACTTATAGATTATTACAAATAAGATTCATGAAGGAAAATATACAATTACTTTTATAAGGTTGTTTATGGGTTTTAAATGTAATTAAGTATAGGGTAACCATTGCAAGGATTGTGAGATACACTATAGAAAATCCAATTATTATAGTGCTATTATTATTTGTTAAATGGCTAATGATAGAATTATTGCTTTTGGTGATTTTGGTCTGAGTACAAGTATGTTTTATCATGCATATGCTCTACCTTTTCTCGTGCATAAAACATGTGCATATCTACAGATACAAAATTAATCACACGTTAGAGATCTTTATGATCTAATAATTATGTTAACTATGGCTCAAATCTTTCAAGTATTTCTAATTACTTAGGAACTTTGACCTAAATTTAGATATCAGCCATTTTGATTATTCCAGGACTAAGTAAAATTCCATATGGACTCTGTTTCTAGACTTTCACTTTGCATATATGCAAAATTATTGCTTTAATAGCTATTCAGGGATTTGTCACTGTTACAACGTTTCCAGCTTTAACTAACTACTTTAGTTTAGTCTATCTTTAGTATACACTAAGGCTCTCAGTTACTTGCTGTTATTTGAACCAGAGCTGGTAATCAGGTAGTCTCAATGCTTTTCTAAAAGATCAAAGGACAGCAGCATTTTTTATTATTTTTATTTTGTTTCTTAAAACATGCAGTAGTCACTGGACCTACTTAATCAACTGAAATCTTATCATACCAACTATATACCCATTAGAAATGATCCATATAAGGAATGTCAGAATTTATTTAAAATTATAGTTTAAAAAGTGTCTCTTAGAGTGTCTTAGTAATTTGCTGTAAAATATGAAAATAATAAATTACATGTGTATATTTTTTCAGCCATTTAGTCACAACTAACAAGTGCTAATTGACCCTATTTTGTATCTGGCATTTGTACATTGAAATGGAGGACCAAAATTATTTGGGCCTCTAAAAATAACCTTTCTCCTTTTTGGCCACATTGCTCAGTTTCATCACAAGTGGGTGACTTCTGGCTAAACAAGGTAAAATCTTAGCATGAGCACCGATCCAAGGACAGGGTGACAATTTTAATGAGTTTCATTGAGAGCTGGCCAAGTGAGCATCTGTTCCTTTTGTTTTCTCCATACTTTGTAAGCCAGGATTTCTAAGCTGTATAGTCATGTTGGTGTGTGTCTGTATGATGTGTTTTGTTTTGTTTTTCTCCCACCCTGTACTTCAGTGGTGCATGGTTAGAAATCTTCTGGCATCTGGCACAATGGCATAATTTCTTCTGTGCTCTTGGGTGAGGAAATAAGTTTGCTCATTGCTGCTCATCTGTCTGTTTCCTTTGCTCCCAGATGGTGACCCTCTCATCCCACTCTTGCTTATTTTAACATTTTTCTGACACTTATATCCTTTCATCGTCTCCTTAAATACCCTAATTTAATAATGATTTCTATCATTTCCTAATGGAACCCACCTAACTTTCTGGTTCCTTTTGTTGGCCCACATCCTGGCTTCTGGTTCATTGCTTCAGATTTGAGCTGAATAATTAGTTGGTCAATGCCAAATAAAAATACGTGGCAAAAAGTATGTCTTTCTTGTAACAGCCTCCAGTAGGTACCAATAACATGAGAATAGGGAAAGAGTTTACCTTTTTCTATTTACATATGTTATATGTATCCCATGATTCTGTGCTGTTTCTGTTGGCCTCATTTATTGCTTGAACTTTGAAAGGTAATGACTTGCTATTATTTTTGTAGGTCTACAAGCTTGTCCTATTGCCTGCTCTTCACCTTTAGCCCTTAATTGAATAGTTTCACCCACTACAGTTGATATGGCTGCAGTGGTTTTTAACTTGGTACAGGTGTCTGTTGTTGATTCAGATAGTACTCCAGAGTGGCCTTGAATGTCCAACCATCTCCATGTGAGAGCACCTATAATATAGTGCTGTCAACCATGTTTTCCTCTAGCTCAAAGCAGCTAATTCTGATTAAGAGTGACTTTGAGTTGGGTGGAAATAGTCATTACTATTATTGAATATTGTTTATTATGAGTTTTAGAGAAGACATCAATACCAGTTATTCCCTGAAAAACAGCAAAGTTGTTATGTTCAGACCCTGTAGTACATAGTATGTGACTCTTCTTTGGCAGAAATCCCTTAAAACAAATGTTTTATAATAGGTCTACGAAAAAGGACCCATTCATCCTCTTTAGAATACAAGAAAACAAGACAGACTATAGCTAATCTAGGTTAATAATAATCTGAATCTCTAACTTGAAGAAATGAGACCTAGGAAAAGATTTAAAAATAAAAATGGGGTCATTTTATCAGTATAACTTAGTCTAAATAATATTTGGAGGCATTGAAATGTCTTTTATTTTCTTCCAAAGCCTTCCTTTCTTTCTAATTATAGCTCCGTAGTTCATGAGATTTGTTTGGAACATGATGAGCTCTGTATTTATTGTAGCTTTAAATGGACAGTCATTATTGACTGCCAACTTAGTCTTTAAAATCAATAATTACATTGTACCTAATTGTCAACCTTCATGATGGTTTTTAATTGGTAAAGAAAGCTAACTAGAAAAATGAAGAGCATTAATTTTTAATGTTATCTTGTTGGTGACTTTATATTTAAATATTACTTAAAATTTTGGTTTCAGGTTTTTCCTAATCTACTTTTTACACACACACTCTCGTGCGTGCGTGTGTGTACGTGCACGCGTGTGTGTCTGCATGCACAGAATTAAAATTGAGTTGTTTGAACACATCTACCTATTTCCTACCTAGGTGGGAGAAGTTCTGCCTCTTTATGTTTGGAAAATATAAATCTCTTCAGTAGTCCTTTGTAGATGTTCCGTATTGTAGTTGTTTGTTGTTACTGTTTTTTACTTGAGACTAATAATCTGTTTGCAACTGACTGAGACAGAAAAATGTGATGTTCCTTTCCACTCACTCCAGATTTTGATAGAAGACTTGTTTTATTTATTTCCAAAATTATATCCGCAGGAAACAAGCTGTTTAAATTCAGATTATGCTGAAGCAAAATGGTCCTGGTATGAGAAGCAACGTGCTGTTTTACGAGCACAGAGTCCCTTTTCTCATAACTGATTGATAGTAAATATTTTCCTGAAGAATTATTGCCAACCATGAACAGTGCAACTGTTTCACTTTTTTTCCGTGCTACTTGCTGTACCAGCCATTGTCGGTAATTAAGATCTACAATTCACAATGCAGACGTTTGCACTTCCTCTGGGTCTGCGCTATTTATAAGGCATTTCAGCTGTTCAGAGTTTCTTTTGAGTTTTAAACTACATGTTAACAGCCTTCTTTAAAATACTGTTCCACAAGTAGCATGTCAGATGGTCCATTCTTTGCACAGGCCTCTCTATTGGGTCTAAACATTAGCTTTGTGGAGAATATATTAACATTTAACCATATTGTTGAGGCCTGTAAGGTTGGAAAAATTCTGGAATATTAAGGTGTTACACATTAGGCATATTACTGTTTCAAAAGGGCAGGAATAAATTTCAGAAGTACTATTTTATCTTTCATTTTACAGATGTTCATATGATTTTAATGAGTGTTAATGGGAGCTATAGAGAGGTTCTGAGAATTACTAGTAAAGGGACATTTCCCAGCTCACTTTCAGATAATAATAGATTCAAGGACCATTGTTATAGTCAAGAGTGTGTGTGTTTGTCAGATTAAGGATGCAAGAATACACCTTGTAGATGTATGTGATATTTAGGAATACAGACACGGGACACCAAAATGGATCAGCAGATTGCACGTTTGTTGTATAATCACCTTCAGGAACCTTAAGTAACATATGCCATTGGAGAGGAAACTGTAAACAGGAATCCTGGTCTGTATGAATTTGGTAAAATTAAAAGTCATTTTTAACCATTTCAAGAGAGTTAATTTCAAAAGAAAAAAAAAAGTCCAGACCCCAGTGAGAATCTTCATGAAGTATGTATGCCCTTGAGTGAGAGAACTGCCTGCATAGTCTCCTTACTACCTGTACTCATTGCTAAACATACAGGAGAATGAAACAAGAAGCAGAAAGCTGTGAACAGAGTACGTGTAAAACTTTGCCATGAGTGGAGATGAGACTGGCTGTTAAAAGCCTGAAGTCAGCTGCGTTGATTCTGCATGTTGGATGCCAGCATCTTCCAGTTGAGCAGATCTGCAGAGAAAGTCACACATGAGTTTCAGTGCTGATTCTTGATGGGCCCTTGAAGCTAGAGCTTCAAAGCCTTTCCAAGGCAGGTTTATTGGCCAGAACCAAAAACTTTCTGTGGTTCTTTTGAACTACATTGTTTCTGTAAACTTATTTTCCTTACTGAACTCTTTATGAACCTTTTTTTAAGATAGCAGCATTGGTTCAACTGTTGGGAACCACTGGTATATCTGACCAAGGCACTTCAAGATGCTAGAACCTATTCACATTTCTATCTAGCCAGGGAGCTAATACGATTAAGCTTGTCTTTGTGGATTGGTCTAGATTAGCAGGAGATGAGCCCAGTCAGTGTTTTCCTCAGTGCAAAAGAAAAGGTTGGGAACGAGAGGGGTGAAGGAAGAAAGTTCTTCATCAAGAACTGACTGCAGTATTGCCTGCTGATGCATGTCGGATCACCCGCACCGAGAGATCACATGGCTTCTCCAAAAGTCAAACGATCAATTCGCCTCGTTTTGGCTCTGTACTTAATGCACAAACAGTGCGATCTGCGGGGCTGTAATTGCATTGTTAGGGCCAA